TTGTATTGTTTATAACTGATCTTCAGAGGAATTATACTTATTTACAAGCGTGTATTATATTATATAGTGAAATGTTGCTGATAACAAGATACAAGTGATGTATATAGAAAAGGTTTCAATGTGCAACCAAAAGAGACATTTATAACGTAAAATAAAATAAAAGCCATATATATATATGTATATATATATATATATATATATATATATATATATATATATATATATATATATATATATATAAAATATATATATATATATATATATATATATATATATATATATATATATATATATATATATATTAAATTATAACTTTTTACAAAATTATACAGTGTTCTCCGGATTGTAATAATTTGTTTTGAGCATTCGACAAGGTACTTCGAGCCTTCATCAGAAAGATTGATCATTTGAATTTTTGCGCTGTTGTTGACGTTGTTGAAGTCTGTGGGAACGTCTGATTGGTTGATGGATTTCAGTATGTTGGTTGCCATTAGTTACTATCGAATGCGGGTGATTATTGTTATCATGAGACGGTGTAGGGAAGGAAGTTGAGGGTGCGTTAAAGGTTAATGAAGATGAATTAGGAGATTTGTGAGAGCGTTTCAGTTGTAAGTAAATTGTAGGGATGTCAATGTGACGGTTAAATGTTTGTTTGTCTAAACTATGCCACGCTTCTTTAAACTCACGGGCATGTTTAGTAGTTGCTTGTCCTAGGCATCTCGTTTGAGACCAGTCGAATTTGTGTCCGTTGTCGTCTGTGTGTTTAGCTGGAAGTGAGCTATGGTCGTGTCTGTTGATTGCGTTCTGGTGTTCTGTTAGTCTTGTCTGAATCTTTTTAGAAGTTTGTCCAATGTACTTATTCGGACAGTTTTTGCACGGGAAGTTATAAATGGCGTTATGTTTATCCGTTATATGTGTCTTGTCTTTGTGTTTAGTGAAGTTGGACCTAAGTTTGCATGTTGGTTTGTGTGCAACGTCAATGTTGCTCAAAACAAATTATTACAATCCGGAGAACACTGTATAATTTTGTAAAAATTATAATTTAATAAAATGCCTGGATTACAAATCTTCAAATCTGTTAAATATATATATATATATATATATATATATATATATATATATATATATATATATATATATATATATATATATATATATATATATATATATATATATATATATATTGGAAGTAAAATAAATACATATTTTATGTCTCTCAGGTAATATATAAACGATGGAGTTTTCCGAGAGTAATATCACATACGTACCCTTTTCTAGATATATGCAAAATTAAAAGCAAAGATTAACATACGATAGCATTCCTCCACTCGTGAGCTCATTTACCGAAGCAAATGTCCAGGCCTTGTGACCCTGGATGGGCACTTAAAGGAAGGAATACACACACACATTCGTACGATTATTTAAGGTGACGCCACATGAAATGTTACCTGTTGTGTTTTTAATATAACCTATATATATATATATATATATATATATATATATATATATATATATATATATATATATATATATATATATATATATATATATATATATATTTATATATATATGATAGTTTTGGAGTTGAAGCTGGTCTAAAATTCTTTTTAAAATACTAGAATATGTACAATATATATATTGTACATATTCTACTAGTGTTGAGCACTTTATTATCTACTACAACAAAACAAGTTATATATATATATATATATATAGTTTTGGAGTTGAAGCTGGTCTAAACAGATCAGCAGATAAAACGAGGAAAGAACTACACGCTATCTTTAATAATATTGTCTTCAAGATAACAGCAGAGGTGAACCATCATGTTGTCAACTTCCTCGACCTCACTTTGGACTTGAAAAACGAAACATTTTCACCTTACAGGAAACCAAACAACGACCCTCTCTACGTCGACAATAGATCTAACCACCCACCCTCTATCATCAACCATATCCCTTCCTCAATCAGCAAACGCATCTCCTCGCTCTCTTCCGATCAAGCATCCTTTGATTCTGCTGCACCATTCTACGAAGATGCGCTTAAGCGCAGCAACTACGATGTACCTCTGCAATACTCGGCCTGTGATAATTCCTCCAGTTTGCCATCTACCAACCGAAGACGTCGTAGAAACATCATTTGGTTTAATCCTCCCTTCAGTAAAACTGTTCGCACTAACGTTGGTCGAAATTTCCTACAATTGATTGATAAACATTTCCCTTCTACTAATCCGCTTCATAAGGTCTTTAACCGCAACACAGTCAAAGTTAGCTACTCCTGCATGGAGAATGTCAAAACCATTATATCCCGACATAACCATCGCCTGTTAAAGAGAAACCCTACCCAAAAACCTGTCCAATGCAACTGTAACAAACCAGATGAATGCCCACTAGACGGGAAGTGCAAAGTAGACAACATCGTCTATAAAGCCACAGTGACAACAACCGATAACGGAAATACAAAAGAATATATTGGAATGACGGCCAACCCATTCAAGGAAAGATACGCGAACCACAAAACGTCGTTCAACCTCTACAACCACTCGTCTGATACAAAGCTTTCCAAGTATATTTGGAGTCTGAAGCAAAGTAGAAGAAATTATAGCATCAAGTGGTCCATCTTGAAAAGAGCTGCTGCGTATACGCCTGGTGGAAAGCGATGTGGCCTCTGTTTGGAAGAGAAGTTATGCATCCTGAAAGCGAAAGGGAACAATTCACTGAACACGCGATCAGAATTTTATGCGAAGTGCTGTCATAAGGAAAAATTTAGCGCGTGCAAATTCAAACCGATGACGCAAGACAAGCCTACGCGTCAGCGCCCGACCGTTGATGCTGACGAATCAAACACAAACTGAATTAATTGCCTGAAGATCGTCTTGAATAAGGCGTGAAACTTGAGTAGCAATAATTAATTTTAAGAAATAAGTATATATATATATATATATATATATATATATATATATATATATATATATATATATATATATATATATATATATATATATATACCTATATATATATATACCATATATATATATATATATATATATATATATACCATTGCTGCTTACGCATTGTGCGCATGCTCACTGCTTGCAGTTTGAGCACTCTGGCAATGGTTTGATGTCCCACATTCGTGAGACATCAAAGGTAACTATTAATAGTGGTTACTTTCATCCTGCTCATCAGCACTACACTGATGAGGCCCAAAAGGCCGAAACGGTACCGTCTGTAGTTAGATATTGCTCTATGGCCTTTGTGTCATATTGAGCACTCTAACAGGATGAGCCATTGCTGCTTACGCATTGTGCGCATGCTCACTGCCTGTAGTTTGAGCACTCTGGCAATGGTTTGATGTCCCACATTCGTGTGACATCAAAGGTAACTATTTATAGTGGTTAGTTTCATCCTGCTCATCAGCACTACACTGTTGAGGCCCAAAAGGCCGAAACGGTATATGTATATATATATATATATATATATATATATATATATATATATATATATATATATATATATATATATATATATATATATATAAGATTTGGTTTCGTTGGTTATAAAAACTTTTGGTAAAGGTGCTCAATGGAAAACCAGAGCATATTTAAATTAAGGTACAACAATCAACAAAATCCACTAGGCATCTTTATTACTAAATTATTTTTAAATAATAAAACAAATACGTGTGGGAATTGAAAAACCAAAACATCAATTATACAATCAAATGGAAACTATTGAAACGAGCTAAGCCTTATAACTGTGCTTCAAATCGGTGTAATTTGTGTTTATGGGAGAAATACTTTATTATTTGTAAGCCAAAAATGGCCACTTTAAACAAACGAAATGAGTTAGTGTGTGCATGTAGGCATAATAAAAAATTCCTTTTAAGTAACATTTAAAAAGCTAGACATTTAAATATACCGCGGTGTGTTAATCTTTCCGCGTCCTGTCAGCTTATCACATAACAGGTTAATTAAATCGCGTGGTTTGTAAATAGGATTAAGTTTTTTAAAGTCTCATCCACTTGTATACATATATAACCTTGTAAGTTTTAGTCTATAGTCATTAGGTCAATTTATCTGAAGAGTGCCACATTTTGTGGTACGAAACTACTTAGTAATAAAGATGCCTAGTGGATTTTGTTGATTGTTGTACCTTAATTTAATTTATATATATATATATATATATATATATATATATATATATATATATATATAAATTTTAAATGGTCACATTATTCAAATAAGCGAATAAGAGGAAAGGATGAAAAACAACCTATCGTTAAAAATATTAGTAAATTAAAGATATAATAGTTACTAATTAGAGACCTAGCAAAGCATTAGAAAAGGTCAAGAGGAGTTGACCTAATGTTAGCATTTAAAATAGGATTAAGCTTGGATATGAAAAGGCTTTCGCGAATGAGTAAATCCGCTTCAGAAGTAGCAGTGGAAAGGATTTAAAATCAGAGGGTGAAATTTGATGTTTAGTGGTTGAAACAGAACGTTTCTTTCTAGTCAAAGGTGAAACACCCATGTGTTCAGAGATACACGTGTGTATGTGTCGGCGAGTTTGACCAACATACAATGCACCACAGCATTTACATTTATACAAATACACAACATGCGATCCGGCCAGTTCACAGGGAATTTTGTCCTTAAATGGAAAGAAGTTGGAACGACGGAAAGAAGGACGAAAGACGACACGTAAGGAAATAAGTGAATAGGCAGAAGAAAGAAATTTTTGAAGTTGTGATCGAATTTGCAGACCATGATGACCAGTGAAAGGATGACAAAAATATATAACTTTTTAGAGCAAGTATAAACTTTATCTCGAGAGTTATACATTTTATAAAGAAAAAATTGATACAATTATCCACAAGTGTTTCAGGATAACCATTAAGAAAGAACGTTTTTTTAAATTTTTCTATTTCAGAATGGAAAAATACATGTACATAAGAAGAGCAAATGTTAAAATAACAAGAAATAAGAGAGAAATGTAAACCTTTCTTGTACAGTATTGGCATAAAACTGTCAAAATTGTTAAACAATTGTCAATACGGTGGAAGTAGATTTATAAAGAACCGTTAGATCGAATGAACAACGATCGTACAACTCAAGAATGCTTAACATTCTTGACGATAACACTAAGTTTGAACGAATTGACCAGAAGAAATCGAACATATATAAAGAAACCACTCGCCGTGAAGATGCTGTCCGAACTCTCATAAATGAACTTAAATCTAATGATATAATTTCTGAACAAGTAAGTAAAGAACTTAATCTTATTGGCTCACGACCAGGTATTATGTATGGTTTACCTAAAGTTCACAAGCCTAATTTCCCACTTAGACCTATAATCTCTGCTATAGGTACTCCTCCTACAAACTTGCTAAATTTCTTGTTCCACTTCTCCGTTCTTTCTTTAGTAACACTTTTACAATTAATGACACCTTTACATTTGTTAAGGAATTACGTGAGTTAAAAATTAATACTAATGATGTCATAATGGCCAGTTTTGACGTTAAGTCTTTCTTTTCTAACATTAGATGAAAATATTAATATAATAATTAATAAATGCTTTGCTAGTGCCATACACTATTATGCCATCTCTCGCGATCAATTTAGAGATCTTTTAAATCTTTCTGTGAAAAATTGTCATTTTTATTTGATGGTGTTCTATACAAGCAGGTTGACGGCGTAGCAATGGGTTCATCCTTAGGCCCATTGTTTGCAAATATATTCTAATCGTTTCATGAGAGATCCTGGTTAGCTGACTGCCCTTCTGTTTTTAAGCCTATATTCTATCGTCGGTATGTTGATGATTGTTTTCTTATTTTCACATCACGTGACCATGTCACTCCTTTCTTTTCCTATCTAAAATCGAAACACCCCAACATTCAATTTACTTATGAGCTTGAAAGTAATTCGTGCCTTCCTTTCCTAGATGTCAAAGTCATTCGATCTAACGGTTTTTTCGCTACCACGGTTCATCATAAATCTACTTCCACCGGATTGTTTACCAATTTTGACAGTTTTATTCCAATACTGTACAAGAAAGGTTTACTTTTCTCTCTTATTTCTCGTTATTTCAACATTTGCTCTTCTTATATGTAGTTTTTCATTCTGAAATAGAAAAATTCAAGAAAACGCTCGCTCTTAATGGTTATCCTGCAACACTTGTGGATAATTGTATCAAATCATTTCTTGATAAAATGTATATCTCCCGAAATAAAGTTCATACTTGCTCTAAATAGGTTATATATTTTTGTCTTCCTTTCACTGGTCATCATGGTTTGAAAATTCGATCACAACTTCAAAAATTTCTTCCTTCTGCCTATCCACATATTTTCTTACGTGTCGTCTTTCGTCTTTCTTTCCGTCTTTCCAACTTCTTTCCATTTATGGACAAAATTCCCTGTGAACTGAGATCGCATGTTGTGTATTTGTATAAGTATCAATGCTGTGGTGCATTGTATATTTGTCAAACTCGCCGACACATACACAAGCGTATCTCTGAACACATGAGAGTTTCACTTTTGACTGGAGAGAAACGTTCTGTTTCAACCATGTCAGGCATATTTGCTCATATCCATACTACTAAACATCAAATTTCAACCTCTCATTTTAAAATTGCTGTCCCGCCTACAACTACGTAACGATTATAGCTAATGACGTAATAGTAATCTCAAACTCATTAATAATTAACAACATAAAACGCTCTCTGAGTTTCCAGCGATATACATACCCTTTTCTAGATATATACCTAATAATAATAAGCGAACGAACGAATGTATTCCTTCCACTCGTGAGCTCATTTACCATTGTCACATATAGTAAATGTCCAGGCCTTGTGACCCTGGATGGGCACTTAAAAGGAAAGAATACACACACACAAAGGTTTATTTATTCAACCATTACAAGAGAACGATTGAACAACTGCGCATGAACGAACGTCCAAAGTGAATGCCTCTTGTTAGCCACCTACCAAATTATCATTAGCATAACAATATGTCTCACACAACTCATTTCCTTGTCGTCATATCATAACAAAAATACAGAATACATTCGTTCGTTCGCTTATTATTATTAGGTATATATCTAGAAAAGGGTATGTATATCGCTGGAAACTCAGAGAGCGTTTTATGTTGTTATTTTATTTCCTGAGTACGGGTCTTCGACCAATTTCATATTGTTATTTTTGGTGCTTTGCACTTAAATCCTACAGTTGTAGGTAAATATTCCTGAAGGTCATGGATTTGACTAAAGGTTTGTAATTGATATTCATATTTCCTGATATGGTTTGTTATGATATGACGACAAGGAAATGAGTTGTGTGAGACATATTGTTATGCTAATGATAATTTGGTAGGTGGCTAACAAGAGGCATTTACTTTGGACGTTCGTTCATGCGCAGTTGTTCAATCGTTCTCTTGTAATGGTTGAATAAATAAACCTTTGTGTGTGTGTATTCTGTGTATGTGACAATGGTAAATGAGCTCACGAGTGGAAGGAATACATTCGTTCGTTCGCTTATTATTATTAGGTATATATCTAGAAAAGGGTATGTATATCGCTGGAAACTCAGAGAGCGTTTTATGTTGTTATTTTATTTCCTGAGTACGGGTCTTCGACCAATTTCATATTGTCATTAATAATTCATGAGTAAATTTATTTCGCTCACATGATAATACTGGATATCTGATGAAGTACATTGGACTGGATCAAAATTAATGCAGTCCTTGGACTGGATCCAAACTAATTAAGTAGTGATTTATTCGCATGAGATGTCATTTCAAATCCTCCAATTCGGACTGGACTACATTTCAAGTCCTCGCATTTTAATTCAGTCTCGGCTTTACCTCAGACGTGATCAAATTGCGCAGACTTGAAATCTAATCCAGTCCTCATAGTCGGATTTGAAATATTACTTCATATCCAAGCTTAATCCTATTTTAAATGCCAACATTAGGTTAACTCCTCTTGACCTATTCTAATGCTTTGCTAGGTCTCCAATTACGAAGTATTATATCTTTAATTTACTAATATTTTTAATGATAGGTTGTTTTTCATCCCTTCCTTTTATTCGCTTATTTGAATAATGTAACCGTTTAAAATTTGTATTAAGCTGTTATACATACTGGACAACCGTACTACTATAGTGAATATTACCAGTCTAACATGTTTACGTTTAAAGGCTATTCATGATGCAAGCGACTGCCAGTCGAACTATTACTTAGAAGTTCAGAGATAATATTACATATACCTTCATCCGTGAGGATTAGGGACTGAGATATTGACTATATTAATGTTTTGAGTAGATACAGAATGGCAACAATGATTTACTATGGTGTACAGTTTTGTACTTGAATAATTAAATATATTCAGGAAGTCTGGGCAAGCCAAACAGATGTGTCTTGTCGACATAATACCTGTGTGGAAACGATCAGATACTTCCACATATATCAGTCAGTTACGTTCAGGTATATCAAGTTTGGAAATATACCAACAGCTACATCTGGATGTTAAGTTAATACAAGGATAGGGTATTCGATGAACATTGGATGTTTGACGGTTTCATTAAGTTTCTAGCCACATTGTATTATAATCGACATCACATGACAAGAGATGAAAATATCAAATCATCAAACAGATTCAGTAACTGTATCAAGTTAAGGCGAATGAAACCAGAACAGAATGAGATATACATGTAATCCAAAAATAAATATCTACATACTTAGAGTACAACTGAATCAAAGGCGACGTGGATAATGCGAATATATTTGCTGGTATCTTATTAAGTATAAGGAATTGTTGTGTAAACATATTTTGCAGGCATATTATTCACGTCGAGTCGCTATAATTATTATTTAACACTTACCAACGCCAAAACGATATTAAATCATATTCAGTTAATGCACACAAGATTGATCTTTAATTCCTAAATATAAACGGTTCATTTCAGCTTTTATAATATTGTGAAATTAATGGGAAAACCTCAATAATGCTATATGTTCAACAACAGGAAGGACAATATTGCCTACCTTAGTACCTTCCAACACACAGCTTTGTTTCCTTATAAACTAATACCAATCTTACCTGAATTTTGTCTGCCTTCACTTTTAAGGAAAAAGTGTTAAGAGAACTCTTCTATTGCTACAATAAGTTACCGATTTTACCCAGTGATTTACGAATGTCTTGCATGACAACAGTTAGGAAAATTGACTGAGCATGCGCGAAAACTGCTCGGGTTTTCATCCAATCTCGTTCCCAGAGTATGCCTGCTCGCGGGTTATGTAGTGGCATGATTCTGAGGAAATCGAATCGAAATCGTTATTTCATTGGCTGCCGCGACATCAATACTGCCGACACAATTAATGCGTCTTTTGTGCGAGAATTACGCGTGGACATACGCGAAGAGAGAATTATCAATGTTTATCAGATTTAGAATGCGAAAGCAAGCGATATAAATAGAATGATATAATATTATATAATATTAATTGCATGAAAAAGTATTGCGACGTTGGGTATATATACTTACAAAATGGCATGGTATTTAATATTTATGAATGACTTTTTATCGATATACAGTATGAGTATATTCATTATTGTATTTGGAAACGACGGCGTAACAAGTTTCGTATTTATTCCATGCAGTGGCGGAAATCTTGGTGTGGCGAGGGGGCGGCCGCCCTCCCCCCCCCACCTTCGTGAAATGTTGACCTTTAAAAGGGTTAAAAACAGCCTTTTCGAGTGCAAATGGGGGGGGGGGGTCGGAAATTTGAAAGTTTTGTCGGAAATTTAGAAGGCTTCGCCCCCCCCCCCCATCGCCATTGATAACCATGAAAAAATTGGCTAAATGAAATCGTTGTTTTGCTATATTGACATATTGTTGCCAGGACTTTGGAGTAAAAGCTTTTGCTTGTGTTAAAACTTGAAACTTTAAACAATACAGTACATTAGATCTTCCGTTTCATGTTTACTTGACATATATTAACTGCACATTATCAATTATGGTCAACACTCAACATGTTGTAGCCCGTGGTCTTTGTGTTTTTGTTCGAGATTTTGTAAAAGGAGTTATCTATATAATTTTAAGATGCCAGGTATTTTTGTAGCATCTGTATAAATTATAGAATAATTGATTTAAGAAGTTCCTCAGGTTGTAAAACATTTGGTTAAAGACTTGCTTTGTAAATGATTGCCACTTGACAGCATGATGTAAGGCTATAACTAAACCAAATAATTTTTGAAATAATTTTTGCATCAATTTGTGTCTGGATAAAAAATAAGTAGAGAATTTAAATACAGATGTTTCCTTGTCTGTTGCTATGTGAAACAATGTTGTTTATAGCAATAAGAGATTAAGAGTCATTGTGGATCAATAACAATGCTCATTTGCTAATAATATACAAGCATTGATTCCATTTCCAAACTATTATACTATGTGAATATATTGGCAATTAACTCTTTCTCAGCAGGCCCCTATAAACTTAGAACGTGCACGGTCTATGGCACGGTCTATGACTTCGCCGATTCATATCTTCGGTTAGGTGCATGCTATGTAGATGAAAATACCACCATAAGGCACCAGTAGTAATATAGGTACCGTTCGACCCCCTTTTTTGAGGGTGCGTAAGGGTGCTGAGGGTGCGCTAATTAATATTCATACAAATGAGGGTGCGTAAGGGTGCGCTAATTAATATTCATACAAATGAGGGTGCGTAAAGGTGCGCTAATTAATATTCATACAAATGAGGGTGCGTAATGACGTTACTCATTAACATACGTCATAATTATATGCAATGACGTCACGCGGGCGAGCTTAAACACGACTACGCATTTTTTAGCGTCCCCCACGTGTGTGGTACAATAGAGGGATTCATCTTGGCTTACTATAAATAGCTCGAGTCCCTCACATGGTAAAATTGTTATCGAAATTAATATATATATATATATATATATAGCAGAGTTATAGCCGTATCTTTGCTCGGAAGCGATAAATTTCCACGAGTATATTGAAAGATTTTTCGTATGTTTACAAAATTATAGCGAGGAATCTATTCGTCACAAAAATCAAGACATATTTTAAACAGAACTAAACAGTTGCTAATCCCGGGTTGTCAACGTCGTTGTTAAGGTCAATATTTGCATGTTGTTCAACGTTATTTAGCAAATCTTCTACATACATATATACTGTTAAGATGACCGAGTCAGATCATAAGTAAGCTTATCAAGAATATAAGTTAGAATTGGAACAGTTGTAATATATTTTGCGATAAAAACATGTAGTCGTTATATACGTTGTTATGTGTTGCTAAGTCATTAGCGACGCTTGGGTGCATGCATATATTAACGTACAACATATTTGTACACTTATCAGGCGGGCGGATCGCGCAAGCGGAAAGAGCGGGCTTTGCAGGTAAATGTTTGCACAATATTCCAGTTTTAGAATACATTTATTTCTTCAAAATGTTTTACAAAATTTAGTAAGGTCTACTTCTAAGAGTGTAACGTCTAGGTGTTTTTGTTATTTTTAAAGAGTTCTCATATTCTTGTCTATCTTCTGGGGATAACTTTGCAAGTTTTTCCGGCTTCATTGGAATATATTTCGGTCTATCGCTCAATATAAAACGTTCATAATCCTCTCTTGCTTCCGGAGTCATTCGCGCTAGGTCACGTTCGGTCCAATCTGCTGGGTCTTTTATTTGTCCATTTTTGGTGTGAACTCCAATCCGCCCGCCTTGCTGTTAGACGTACCATACGAACATAGCTCGCAGAAACCAATGACATGCGAAAACAGTAGAGGTGACTGTTCATCACATATCATACATTGAGCGTCTTTGCCCCAGTAGAAATCTTTCCACGAACATCTTGGGCACTTCATTAAGTATACAATGTGACCAGTCTCTTCTCCACAATGGTTACAAGCTAGTTTCTCGGGCTCACCATCATCCTCATTATCATCATCCTCATCATCATATTCGCTTTCATTATCACTCTTGTCAGATTCCCTGTTCTCTTCACCAGATTCGCTTTCAACATCACTCTCAGATTGTGGCATTTCATATTCCTCCTTTGCCATTTTTGACAATAAATACTAATTTTTAATTAAATCTTTATTAACCCCTGCTTCTACTAGACCTTTTGTAAACAGGTCGAGCCCTCGTGGTTCAGGAATGTGAGAGTTGTATGGTAAAAGTGCGTATTGTAAAAAGTTCTCGATTTTAGTACCAGGAATGTCTCTTCCATGATAAACAATCTCACCCTGAGGATTCCAAGTTAAAATATCACTTGATATAAGAATAGAATGTAGCATTTTTTCTGCTGTAGTTTTTTTGACATTATTGTTCAGATACAAAAGTATATCTTCAATGCGCCAATGACGCGGAGATGTTTTACTCTCGATGTTCATTGTTGAAATGATGTATAATTTGTAGTCACAGGGCTTTTATACAAGTTCAGCCAGGCTTTCCAAAATAGGACTTAGTAATAGTCCAAGGAAACCTTCACCATGTTGAACGAGTATCCGTTTTTTTCTTCTTCCACATTTTCCTCTATCTACCAACCTAAGCATTTCATGTTTGTAAGGTCGGAGTTTCTTCATTACATGCTTCGGCATTAAATATTTTCTTTTCATAACGTTTTCTACACAGAGACACAGGCAGTGTACTTGCCCGGCAGTTGCTGTTTCCAGTAGTGCTTGTTGTTGATCAGGCTCAGACGTGCCCAACAATTCAAAAAATGGCTTGTGCCTTAGAAGATTGATCATTTCTGTTCGACGGTTTGGAAGCAAATGAGTAAAACACAACAATAAGGAAGCTTATATCGGAAGAGAGAAAGCAATTTAGACAAGGCTCCAAGCTATTCAGAGCTCGACTCTGAGCTTATCGAACTTGGCTCCTTGTGCATGTCAGATAAGGAAGATAAGAGGATATAAATATAGGGAAGATAAGGATAAAGATAAGAGGATAAGTATAAGGAAGATAAGGATAAGGAAGATAAGAAGATAAAGATAAGAAAATAAAGATAAGGATAAGGAACATAAAGATTAAGATAAGGATAAAGATAAGAAGATAAAGATAAAGATAAGGAACATAAAGATAAGGATAAGGAACATAAAGATTAAGATAAGGATAAAGATAAGAAGATAAAGATAAAGATAAGGAAGATAAAGATAAGGATAAGGAACATAAAGATTAAGATTAAGATAAGGATAAAGATAAGGAAGATAAAGATAAGGATAAAGATAAAGAAAAGGAAGATAAGGAAGATAAAGATAAGGAAGATAAAGATAATAAAGATAAAGATAAGGAAGATAAAGACAAGGATAAAGAAGATAAAGATAAGGATAAAGGTAAGGGTAAAGATAAGGAAGATAAAGATAAGGAAGATAAAGATAAGGAAGATAAAGATAAGGAAGATAAAGACAAGGATAAAGAAGATAAAGATAAGGATAAAGATAAGGATAAAGATAAGAAAGACAAAGATAAGGACGATAAAGATAAGAATAAAGATAAGGAAGATAAAGATAAGGATAAAGATAAAGAAGATAAAGATAAGGAAGATAAGGATAAAGATAAAGATAAGGATAAAGATAAGGAAGATAAAGGCAAGGAAGATAAAGATACAGAATAATACTGGATAGATGCATTAATGAATATATAGAACGAATACGCCAATTTATTATCACTTGCAGCTAGACGTTCGTGGTGTGAACATGTCCTTTCCGTGCAACATATGTGCCAAAGTATTTTCAACACGCGGTAACCTCAAGCGTCATGCTTTGAATACCCATGGAGATGTTTAAAGCAAACCAGTTGAAATCTCAGCAGGATCTACAGTTTTGCAGCATCCTTTCACATGTATCGTAGCTGGGTGTACCCAAAGAGGCAAGACTGTATGGGTAAAATCTCTCTTGGAGAATGCACAGAAAACTATAAGTCCTGCTCCTCAACGTATCATTTGGTGTTATGGTCAATGGCAACCGTCCTATTTTGATATGATGAGAACGATGCCTGGAATCGAGTTTAATCAAGGCATCCCCGAAGACATCGACAACGCAGATTACTTGGACGTATCGCAACGGAATTTGATCGTATTGGATGATCTCATGGCTCAATCTGGCAAAGATAAACGTATTTCTGATCTTTTTACGAAAGGAAGTCATCATCGAAATTTGTCTATCATCTATATTGTCCAAAATATATTT